AATATATTTAAACTCCTATGTAGTTTACTGCTGGCCTTGTTTAGTTTCTGGCAAACTGTTCTGCAGAACTGCTGTCAAAATGTTGGAGAAAAAGCCATTTATTTTTTAAGTATACTTGGAGAAATATGTGAATACTGCCTCAAACTTGAATATTTTTTTTATTGGCCATGAACAGATTACAAAATTGTTTTAAATATGTTTTTTGAAAATCACTGTTTCTGTAACTCAAAGTTCCTTTGCAACTAAAAACTTCATAATGAAGTTATATCTTTGATTAATTGTAGATTTGGCTCCCACACAGTTGATGCAAACTTCACTTACAAGTCAAACTTCTTCATCTGAGAACAGGTATAGTATTACTTAAATTATGAAACTACAGTAATACTGCATAGAAAGAGTTATGAGAGAATTTATTATAAACCAGTTATCTCCCAGCCTCAGTTTTCAGTTTCAAGTAAGTGACTTGTCCTCTGTAAAAACAGACTTTCATTTTGTCCCATTGTTAAGGGATGTTTCTGCTTTGCTAAGAAAATAATTAAGATATTTGTAACTGCATATTATTTCAAAAAGTATTATTTAAGAGTTGGAAAAACATTTATACTGGTCTCTTCCTCAAATCAGATGAGAACTAGAGAGTAGGGGAAGGATTTGCCACATGATTTTCATGTACTGAATTATTTCACTTACATCTGGTGGAGTTTTTTTTTCCTCCTTGTACTACGGGAGTCTTGTACATGTGAATTTTTTTTAGGTGGGGAGGAGGGGATTTAATTTGGAATTTTGTGATTGCTGTGAAATGAAGGTGTCAGCAGCCATATTAGAAAGAAAGAGTTCTTAGTACTAAGTTCGTCTTACAGTTCAAGTTTGCATTTTAGCTTTGATCACGTGGACTGTTAAATTTTTTGAGCAGTTCTGACATAAGCTATGGTTTTAGACAGTTACAAGCTAAAGACAAAAATTTCTTTGTACCTTAATACCTTGAGCAGCAGCAGTGGACAGTGTGCTGTTACTGTTTTCTGTATTCATAATGAGGACAAGAAGAAATGTTTCAGGTAATTTTCAGTACATCTCTCTGAGGCCAGATTAACAATTCTCATTAACCAACCTTTTTGTACATGTTGAAAAATTCTATTGCTATGTAACTTTGCAGAAGATAGGTAAGGTAGATGCAATCTAGTTAAATGAGTGGTTTAAAATGTACTGATAAGCATTGCAGTAACTTTGATTTATTGTATTTTTATTCTCAACTGCCAAACAGGTTTATGGTATCTACTTAAATTTATTACCTGAACAAGCTCATATTGCTTGACTATTATCTGGATATATATTTTAATTCTGAGAATTCTTTAATTTAGTTCTTCAATTTAATTCTTTCTTACCCTGCTTTCTATGTGATATCCAAGAATTCAGTCATTCTTTCTGTGATACTCCTGCCATAACATAGAATATCTGTTATCTGTGTGCATATCTACAGTGTGTCTCTCTTTAGAGCTATGTAGGAAAAGACTGCAGCAGGAAAAGGCAAACCTCAAAGTAGCTACATAAGGCAAATTTTAGGGCACATGAAGGGAATAAAAAAAAATACCCCTGATTTAGCACAAAAATGCTAAAAATGCCTGGTGAGAGTTAATTTTTTTAAAAGCTCACTGGATTAACCTGCTGCCTGTGCTACGGGAGGTGCCACAATTAAGTTTGATCAGAAACAGGACAATGTGTTAATACCTAGTTGAAGTACATACATTTTTGTGTGTGTTTTGCTTTGGCAATCTCCACAAGTTTTATCCAAAACTGGAGTGAATGTCATTTTTTTTCCCCTGAATATAGGAGCAAGTTCATAGAGTGATTTTGGTGATAGTTTATTATATTGTATTTTCCAGTGTTTCTTTCAGCTGTGACAAAGGGAGGTTTAAACTGAGTAAGATTGCAGTGATACTGCTGCATTTATTCCTTGGGTCTTCCTTCCTTCACTGCCACATGTTAGAAGAGAATACATTTTAATTGTAGAGATTTGACATCTGACTTAGATTTGTGATAATATATTTACATGGTGTGCTTTGGCAGCCTGATGTATGATACCTTAATCTTACTTTGGAAGTACATAGCATTAGGCACCATCAGTCGTGCTCTGAAAGTGCCTCTTATAAATGCTGGTGTTAATGGTTGAGACTAGCTCATCCACTTGATCATTTTTTCTTTCCATAAACGTAAAAAAATCTTGTAATTAGGCTAGTTACAAACCGTTTTTTTGATTAATTCTTTCATTTCCTTATTTTTCCAGTTGTATTTGCATGTTAAAATCTACTGGACTGGGTTTTATGTAATTGATTTGGATTTGCATATTGGTAAAGTTTGTACTAATCACAATGTTTTGAGTATTTGGGATGACGTGTATAAGCAGTTCCATTTTTAACATGAAATATATTTGTATTTCAAGGGCTCCATTGTCAAATCCTTCATTAGCATCAAAATGCAGTAACTTGCCATCATCTGAAGAACATATTCAGAAGCTAAAAGAAGCAGGAAAAGATGGTGATAAGCAGCTGATCACAGTAAGTAATACCATTTCAGTAAGGCTTATAGCTTCTTGAAGAAATTCTCTGCATTTGCAGTGCTGTGTTTTAACGAACTTGTCTAAAAATTACTTATGCACACTACTTAGCACCATTGTAAATGACTTGTAAAAGCAGAACCTGTACTAGGTTGCCATTCAGTGTTGATGGGAAAATGGTGTCAGCAAGCCTTACTTTTTAATGTTTCTTTTTAAAATAAATTTCTGCAATTTTTAAATAGAATGGTTATTCTTTGGAAATAGGGAGAATGGATGTGCCTTTACTTACGTGTAAATTCTCAATTTCTTAAAATTTTAGAATTACAGAGGGAGGTGCATTTGGTAGATTGTGCAGAATTAAAATCAACAGATTTGTTCCTTTGTCATTAAAGTGTCCATTGTTCTGAGACCAGCTGAAAGATCTCCCACTGCATGCACTTACTTTTTACCATAATATTTAAGCAGCAGTACCAGTTGGGTTATTTATTCTTACCCTTTTGGCTATTAGCTACAAAATACAGGTAACAAGAAAATGCACAATGAGAAGGGAGTGACACAGTTGTTTTGTTGTCTTGTAGAATCACACAGCTTGATCGTGAGACAGTTGGAATTTTTGGTTGCGTTTTGTTTGTGTTTTCAATAATGGCACATGTCAGATAATCCTTGAGAAATGAAAGGCTAGAGATGGAGAGGAACCCAGGCCATTAGGAAGGAAGGAGTTTTCTTATGAAATTATATCTCTAGCATAGAAAATTGGAGGTGTTACTAAGTTGTTATTTTTTTCCTGTAATACATGGATTATAAATTTGAAAATATTAACTGAAATGGAACCAAATGAGTTCTGAACACTCTGTTACACCATACTGAAATATTTTAAAATCAGAGCTTCTAAGAACTAAAGTGATAAATATATCCTCCAGTTGTCTGAAGTTATACAAATCTAGGCCTGTGAATGCCCAGCCACAGCTGAACTGTGTCTAGCATTTAAGAAGTATTTCAGTTACTGCCTATTTGAAATCCATTTTACCAACAGAATTAAAATGAATGATTAAATATCTTAACTATATTAAAAGGACTATACAAAAATCCCTTTTCATTTCTGTGAAGCTAACTTAATTTTTACTCATACAGTAACAGAACTTTGCTGAAAAGTTGCTAGGATCTTTGACAAGAAGAAATACTTCCTGCTTGGCTACTGAAGAGGGCTTGTGTAGCTCTCTGCAGTGTTTATTATACAAACAGATTTTTTGCAAGTTACTGATTATGCTGGTAGTATTCTTGTATTCAGCTAGAATTAGAAGAGTGATCTTTTCTTCAGGTATACAACAATAAAAGTTTTTTTACCAAGCAAAATTTTAAAGAAAGGTTCATTGATGAAGAACAGAGGGAAAATGAGGAAGAATGAGAGAATCTTAGTTTGTTGTTTTCTGTGGGTATTTCTGGAAAATGCAAGTGGATATTTAATTTCTAAATGTGAAAGTAACAGCTTCACAATGTCTTGTATATTTCAGCACTTTGTACAAATCTAATTCACTCTGATTTCATTGAGTCCAGAGTAGGCTTTTTATTATGTGGAAAGGGCATTTTAATAATGCATATACTTCAGTTTACCAAGACATTTTAGATAGGGTATAGGTCTGTTACTGTTTTACTTTGGGTAAGACTGCTCTTTTGTCAAAACATGTAGAAGAACCCAAATACTAGTTAAGCTGCTTTGTAAAATACTGTCCTTGACCTTGGTTACAGTGGAGATGAGACATAGTTATATTTAGAATAGTTTGTGCCAACTTCTAGAGGTGAAAGGTGGCTAAATTGACTTCTAAATTACTAGGCTTTTCTCCTGCAAATACTCAAAAGATTTGAGCTTAAATGCATATAGTAAAATAAGGTACCTTTTGTAATTAATAGTTTTACTTGTAAAACCACGGTGAGTTTTTAAAAGGTGGATGGGTGGGCTTATTTTTCTATTATTAGTAGTAATTATTTTCAAAGGAGTTTATATAGTTTCATAATGATCCTGTGAGAACAGAGAAATTAGTAATATGGTTTAAAAACTGCTGAGGTTGAAATTTCTCCTGTGTGGAGAGCAGTCTCACTACACAAGGTCAAACCACTTAAATTAGCATTTATAGTATCTAAAAAATTACAGTTAATAGCTGGAAATAATTTTTATTTCAAGTTTCTGACATGTTGTATTAAGAAAAGCAGTTGCATTATTCTTTACCTTAAGCGAAGTTGGGAAGTCATGCTTTTATTCTTAGCAAGAGACATTTAATTAGTGTTTTGTTACACTTTTTTAAAAAAAAACTAAATTCCTGAAAGATGCAATTTTGGGCTCTCCAGTGTGAGATCTGATTCTTCTGGAGATGTGTCAAGCCAGTCCATCCTAATGTAATGTATGTACAAAATCCTTCTTTCATTTTACAACCAAAGATGAAAAAGTAACTATTTATTTGACTAGTCACATAATGCAAAGTCTTTATTTTGCTGCTTGTTTGCTACTGAGTTTTCCTAGTCTTTTATATGTAAGTTTGACACTTTTAGATTTTTTTGTGGTATTTGAAGCTGAGAGTCTGGAATGTTACAGTATTGTCTATGTATTCTAACGTTTTTGGTCCCTGAGCTGTATTTAGAGAGGTGTTTTGGTAAAACTGGGCTTTGTTTTTCACAATATGCTTTGGGTTTTTTATATTAAATCCTTAAAGATGTATCTTGGCTTCCTTCTCCCATATGATTACTATAATTAGATTCATTTTCTTTTTCTCTTAAATAGTATAATCTTTAACAAGCTTTAAGGCATTTGACTAACTGAAGTAAAATAACACAAATTCTGTTTGTAGAAGAAATACTTAGTAGCTGCATTTGCACTGTTCTCTTTCCTGGTACACATCATACTGTTATCTGGGCAGGTTTTAAACATAAAATTATCTTCATTTTGTAGAAGTGCACTGAAGTCAAACGATGGCTTGTTTCTGTTCGGATTTGCTTGCTGTCACATATCTTAAAAAGCAAGTCTCTTCAGAGTGTAGAACTTCAGCTGAGGACAGCAAAGCATCTAATGCTCCAAGACACTTCATGAAATAAACAGTGCCAGAAAACAGTGATGATTGAAGTGATATGCAAAGACTTAGGTTCAGACTTGAGAGAGTAGTCTTTCTTTTTCAGGGCAAAGAAATTAATATCGAGGCTAAAAATTATTACATTCCAATCTGTGACTTGGCATTTGGTGGAATAGTCAGTTCTGAATATTTGTGAACTGCCCCCTCTTAACACTTCATTTACATGTTCAATTGGTAGGCTGTCAGGTTACATGGAGCTCCATAGGAAGCTTTATAAAATAATGCACTAAAATTGTTACTTACTTTTCAATTGCTTGGATGTGATTTGCAAATAAGAGAACTTGAATATGAAATAATCTGTTTCTTTTAAATTCTGAAATGGAAAGAAAGACAAATGCACAAATCATGTGTTCTCAGTTTTCATCAAATGAGAGATGCTGTACAACCAAGACAAGGAAAGTCAGTTGTTTCTGTCTTGTAAAAATTTCTGCTTGCCTGTCAGATCTAGGAAAAAATTTCGACCATAGAAATAAGAATTGATAAAAGCATTAATGCTACAAAGAAATCTTCTAAATAATTAGCTGTGAAGGACAAGGATACTTATTCCATTTTGAGGTTTGTTCCTTTGAATTGACTAGTATTTTGAAAATAAGTCCTCAGATTTAGGAAAGTAAAAAAAATGAATGAACAGTGAAAACAAATCACTAAAGTGATAGAAGGATAGTTTTGAGTTATGGAGACTTGTTTGCCTTTCTAGAGCTCTGAGTTAATGCTTGGATGCCAGCAAGTGTGATTAAATGTAGGTGATCATTAAAAGTATCAGCAAGTGTGTAGATCAGGTTTGCTTGATGGAAGGTGCTTTTGATTCTGTGGTTTGAGTTGGTGCTGTGTGTGGATGTGACGTGCATGCTAATCTGGTTTACACATTTGGATATCATGCTTGAATTTTTCCTTACATATATTTTGATTAAAATTGAACAGAGTTTCCTGCTTGACTGAAATAGGTTATATGTGAAATAAATATTTTTCTTTAAGATGAAAACACAGCCCTTAGTGGACATAATAAATGTAAGAGTAATTTCTTATGAGAAGAATTTCTGAAGAAACTTGGATAGCAATCATTTAAAGTTGCTGTTTTCTTCCTTAAACTTGTATAATCTGGTTAGGCAATTTCTCTGAAGATTCAGAGAATGCCTTTTAGGCAATCTTTCATTGTTCTCATTAGTTAAGTACTGCCTCTCTCCTGTCCAGTGAGGCCAGTGAAAATGAGACAGTAACTACTTCGTAAGCATAAGGGAGGAGTTTGGTAGTTGAGAGGAGTTATTTTTCCTTCCACACAAACGGTGCCCTTTGGGATAGCTCTGTTCTTACAGTGATGGTATTCTTTCTTATTATCAGTTCTTCCCATTTCTTCTCCTCTGCAGCAACCCAGCTTTGTCTTGCAAATTCAGGTGGGCTTGTCTTGGTGTCCTTTGTCTTGGAGGGAGGTGAGAATGTTTTGTTATATTAGCTGGGAGCTGGTACAGGAATTCAGGCACGAAGGCCACTAACACAGTGTGCTGTAGGTTAACCCTGGCAGGCAGCTAAGCACCATGCAGCTGCTCCCTCGTCCCCAAGAAGCTTGGGAGAGAACAGCTTCTCAGGTAAACCAAAAGCTGTGCGTGCAAGCAGAGCAAAATAAGGAATTCATTCACTGTTCTTCATCGGCTTGCAGATGTTCAGCCTTCTCTGGGAAAAAAGGACTTCATCATATGTAACAATTGGGAAGACAAATGCCATTAACTCCAAACATCCTCCCCTTCCTCCCTCTTTTCCCAGCTCTTACTGCTTAGCAGAATGCCATATGGCATGGGATACCTCTCTGGTCAGGTGGGATCTTCTGGTCCTGGCTCTGTCACCTCCCAGCTTCTTGTCACCTCCCATCCTCCTCACTGGCATGCAGCGTGAGAAACAGAAAAGGCCTTGAATGCTGTGTAAGCACTGTGCAGCAATGGCTAAAACATCCCTGTGTTATCAGCCCTGTTTTGGGCACAGATCTAATACACAGCGCCATACCAGCTGCTGTGAAGGAAATTAACCTTATCCAGTCCAAAACCTGTGCTTATGAGAGCAGTTTCTGTAATATTCCTGCTTAATACTTTTACATGAGTTCAGGATGGATTGCCTGTCCATCGTAAATATTGTGCAGATTTTCTTACTTTGTATTGCTTTTCATATTGCTTTAGCCAATGACCTATTATTTATTATAATAAAAGATATAATTTCATGATGGATAATGACCCACCATTTTAATTTTCAAATATGTTAAGTAAAATTAGATACATCGAGACTTTGAAAATTTCAAGTTGATTTATATCTTTTTGTTAAAATAGCTTTTCAGGAAGGTGGGCACTGGTGATGGGTTGGGTTTTTTGTTCTTTCTTGTTTGGTTGGGGTTTTTTTGTTCAAAATGAAGACTAGATTTTATTCTGAGTTGGGACATGTCTTCTGATCCTCCTGATCAGCAACAAGATCTATCCGTCAGTTTCAGTCTTGAATGCATCTTTCACTGAAATAGCATTCTTTGACCTTTTAATTTTCTGGGGAGTGCCCCAAAATCTTTATGTTGTTTCTTTCTGTACTTCTTATATTTCCTTTCCAGCCTGCACATTTCTCTGGCTTGGATTTATTCTTTGTTCTGAGAAAATGATAGAGGAAAAGAGGAAAAAGCAATTTTCCTCTAACTAAGCTAGGTAATCAAGAAGGAGGTGACCTAATCTGTGACTGAAGAGAGAGAAAAGAAACGAAGGAAAAAAAAAAACAACAAACCCCTTTTCATCTCCTACAGAGGCACCAAATGCCTTTTTTGCTTGCAGGGTTCCTTATTGCACATATGGAGGATCAGCAGACATGCACCTTCTCAAAGAAGATATTGGTAAGACTTTTCTTTCTGTCTAACACAGAATTGAGAAACTCTTATGAAGTTAAGGCAGTATTGTCCCAATGTTAAATTACAGTTAGCCTTGAAATAGTGGATATTCTCTACTTCAGGATTGCCTGAGATGATGGGATGCTTAATTGCCATCTACGTGTGCAAACTTGCTTAGGAAATAAAAGCATTTTTTTCTCTTTATTGTTAAGGTTTAGAAAACTGAGATGTAAACAGAGTAACAACATTTTTCCTGCCTGAAACCCCACATTTTCCTGAATATAGTTCCTCTGAAAAATGTTAAGTTTTAAGAGTCAAACTTCTTGAATCTTTTTCTAGTTGTGACAGGTCAGCACTTTATTTTTCAGTATCTGATGCTTGCTGAGAAGATTTCCACTTCAAATCCCAGTTACATTTACTCTCATACATAGTACAGAAGGTGTTCCTAGGTTGTTGTGGTTTGGGGGTATTTTTTATTTCTGGTTTTGTTTGGATTTTTGGTTTGAGTTTGTTTTGGTTTGGTTTTTTTTTTGGTAGTTGTTTCATTTTGTTGTTTGATTGGTCGTTGTTGATCTCCTCCCATTAGGAAGGTCTGTCAAGCTTTAATGCAGTATTATGATTTGGGAGCACTTTCTTCCTCTGGATGCCTGCCCTTTCCACTCCTGCTTATGCAATGACATCACTTTAAAAATAGTCAGATGCTGTAGATGTTTTGTTGAAGTACAAACGTATTCATCATAATTCCTGACTTTATTTTGCATGTCTTTTTTTGTTGTTGCAGTCTGTGTTGGATTTTAAAGCTCCTGCATTTAATTTTTGCCTGAAGCATTTTATCCTGTGCTGTGTCTTTGAAATAGTACTTTGGTTATACAAAAATCTTCTTCCTTGTTTTCAGAAGACTGTAAAATATTTCCTAAAGGCTATAGTCCATGTTTATCAGGGCTACAGAGTTCAAAAGATTGCTTTAGATACTACAATGTGCTTTTTTTGATAATTCATGAAACAGGGCTTTCATATTAACCTCTATGTGTAGCCCATTGATACAACTGAATATGTGTAGAGTAGCAGTATCAATGAAATCCTTAAAAAACAAAATCCAAACAAAAAATCTCCCCCCAAAACTCAGACATTGATACCAGCAACATCTAAGAAATGCTGACTGTAAAATGCAATATGGCAGTACTATTCCAGGGAACTAATCTGTTCCCAGAAACTTGCAAAACAGCATTTGTATTTACAAGGTAAGATGGGAGCCGGACAACTTTGAGGATATCCTTGTGTTTTCTGATGACTTCCTGCATAAGTAGCATTTTTTTGGCTTGAGTTTTTTGATAGTAAGCTTACAGGTTAGTTCAATAGTCTTGATGATTTGAATAGAAATTGTAATGAGACTTAATGCAGTACCAATACTTAAGACTGGCTTTATGTAGCTGATTTTATAATTTAAGTAGTTGGGGTTTTTGTTGACGTATATTCCAAGCATCAAAGTACATTTCCTTTTCACTTATTCTGCTCTAGGTACAAGGGGGTATGTTCTCCATCTTCAAGACAGGATTATTAAGTCGGTTCAGTTGGTTCATCTTTAGATAGTCGGCTGCACTGCTTTTTTTATCTTTCGTGTATTAACCCTTGAAATGCAGTGTCTTCTGGTGGCTAGAACGGGTACTTTGTTTTGCTGCTTTAAAGGAAATCTGCAGGTGAAATAAAATGTGTTTGGTTCGATTTTTGGACTTTTAGAAAGCTCATCTTATTCTGACTTTACAAATCCAACCTCAGTTCATCTTTCCCTTTCCATTCAGAAACATAGTGTACTCCTGTTTCTCCTTCTGCACACGGTAGGGATCAGTACACTGATGTATCATTAAAGCAATGACTTCCCAGATTCTGCTTCTTCCTTTCAGCCTGTGCTCCTAAGGAGACATTCAACTCTGAATTTGTCTGGCCTGTTGTGCCTTTAGTCTCTTGGGAAGAAACTGATATCTACACCTTAGATGGCACTAATGTCTCTTTGAAAAAAATTGCTGTTGTGTGGAGAATTGAACTGTTGTTTAGCTCATAGACATGTCTTTGAAGATGGAAGGAATAGGAAATGTTTCGTAAACACTTCTGTGTTGCAAAATGCTTTCTTCTGTAAAATAGGCTTTTTTTACTATGGCTATTTTCAGCTCTTAGAAAACAATATTAAGTTCATGTGATCTGTTTTCTTGCAAATTTTGCACACAGATCAATTTAATATTAAAAAACACCCTCAAATCCTTTTTTGCTTATTATACTGGTTTAGAGTATAGAGTAAGTTCCTGTTTCTCTATTGCTTGTGATGTATGTTAAAATAAATTAAAAGTGACATTTATTGCTGCTTACATAAGCTCAATTTCCAAATGTAGTTAAAGAGGAAAAAAAAAAAAGTAGTTGAGCATTAAGCTGTAACTTAAACATGCCTTTTTGGCTAGAGATTGTATTCTAACTGGTATTCTTCTGCTCTTTGCAAAAGGCAGCCCCAGCACCTGATACTTCACTATTTATTAGGCACTGACTACAAAATCTGAGTGTGTTTCCAGATTAATAATTTTTAAAGAATAAACATAAAAGCAGTAGGTACTGAGTAGTGCCCTCACTTTGGTAATGGTTGCATACAGAGTAGCAGGAGAACCTAGAAGTCATGAATGGTATGATTTTCCATTTGCAATGTAGTTGCTACACAGTGTGTCAAAAATTGCCTTGAAATACTCAATTCTTGTTGAACACCAAAGAAGAGAGCGATCAGCTGTTGCAGACATATTGCTGATCTTAATGATTATTTCCATAGCTTCATTTTTTTTGATACACTTAGAGACTTCTAAGAAAATGGCTCACCTGTGGCATTCCTCAAAGCAACTCACAAAGACAGGCCGCAGCAAAAGTGTAGGGAAAACGAAGTAGTGACGGGCTGGATATGGGAATTTTCTTGGTGGAAGATTTCTGCAGATAGGAGAAATGAAGGAAGAATTCTTTGTTCTTTGTATGTCATAGAATAATTTGTTCAGTAGTAATGGGGGGGGTAGAGCAAGTATTTTTAGGTAGAGTTTTCCTTGTGATTGATGCCTGTGCCTTTTAAGAGCATATGGGTTTTCAAAAGATGAAATTCTAAATTCTGTGCTTGTTGTTTCTCCTGTTTCACCCCATTTTAGCCTTTGTGTTGAGTTTCCAGAAGATACATTATTAGGAGGAATATCTGATTCAATGGAAGTTCTGTTTAACTGTATTTTCTGTGCAAGGAACTCAAATTCCTGCTTTGTGGGTTATTTGTTGGTTTGGTTTTGTTGTTTTTTTTATAGGATGGAGGACAGAAGAGATTTGGTGCTATTTCCTGTAATATTTGTGGAATGCTTTACACTGTGTCAAATCCAGAGGATGAAACCCAGCATCTGTTATTCCACAACCAGTTCATAAGTGCTGTTAAATATGTGGTAAGAAAACCTTCTGTTTTGAAAGACATAAACGGTATCTTTCATTTGCTTTGTACTATTACAATTCATATTACATTAAGCTGTGTTTCAACAAATTGTTATCACAGTAGGCTAAATATCCACATTAAATATCCACGTTTATCCAGTAGTGGATAAATCATCCACTTTGGGAAATAAATGTTTTTAAGAGCCATGGTAGACAGGTTATAAGTTATGTATAAAAATAGTACAATAATGGTGCTTCATTGCCATACCTGATCTTGGGGAGGTGTGAGGGTAGTGATAGGAAAACAAAGGATTGTCACTCTTCTGAAACTACTAAATACAGGTTTCTCTACAATTGGTGTTCACAGCAGCAGTTGACTTAATAGTCAGATGAAGGGCTGACTGTCCTCTTTTTCTAAGTGTGTGATCTTACAAACTACTTTTCCATTAATTATGTAAAATTTGAGGAGAGACTGCCTAGGAATTCAACTGATACAGCTTCATAGTGTATTGGACCTATATATACTGAATTTATAATGAGAATGTGATCTCTAAAATATATATTATTTGAAAATTTCATTATATATGCTGTCTCTGAGTATCTCATAAATCTCAGATTTGAAAAATTCTGTATAATTTCAAATATATTGTAAAATCAGCTACTTCACACTAGCTGATATTACAAGACATAGGAAATACCTTTTCACATGTCTGAAATCCAGAATAGAATCCACAAAGTATTTTTATCATACATGTTACCTTCAGTACTCTACACTCGAGTAGATAAGACCTCCAGGATAACTGAACTGAGGCCGCCTATTTGTTTCATGTAGGCACCAAATGGCTGTTGGGCTACTCTTAAATCTCAAGCTCACTTTTATCCCAGTGTTTGCAAATATAAATATATAACTTGATACCTAAAGTGCTTGAAAGTCTCTGGTGAATAGTTCTGGTGTTTATTCTGTCCTTGGTTAGTTTTTGCCAAATAATCTGGACATCTTGAAAGGTCTCTTCTGATACACGTAAGCTACGTTGTAGGGTGGCACTGGGAAGAAAGTGTGATGGAACTCAGTTGTAATGGCATCATAAACACATTTCCCCATTTTATTCCTGTTTGTCCTCCCTCTCCCCACCCAAGTACTTTCAGATCTTGAATGTTACCAAAGATGTAAACATAATTCACAGAAGATGATGTTTAGTTCTTTTGGACAGAAGCTCTTTGGCACATGAGTTCAGTAGCTACTTAAAGCTGTACATGTTCATGTAGGTAAGAAGCTGTACTGAAGTTTTGAATGTTCTGGAAGTTGAAAGAGCTGAAATCTCACACTTGTGTGTATGTCTACAGTAGCAACATAATTAAGAAAGTGAATATGAGCAGACTGCCTTAAACCAGTCATAAATAATTTCATACAGACTTAGGTATGTTTTTAACTTGAAAAAGCTTTCCCTATTGTTTTCTCAGTTGCTAGCCATCTTCTTAAAACTTCCAACAATATGTACTCAAGCAAATTATTTGTATTGTCAGTTCAGTGAGTAAAGAGTTTTCTCTCTGTAACCTTTTGAGGCTTTAGTTGTGTTTTGTAGATGACTGTAGAGCCATGGAGCCATGATTTAGATAGTTACTCTGCAGTGAAAAATGTAGAGTAAGACATGAAAGAAGAACTCTTATGAGTCTTCATATTCCCCTTTGATTTTTATTTTTTTTTCCCCCCCTTAGCAATCTTAACACTTTACTGCGTGGATGAGTAACTTTCGCTATTCTAAATAGATGAGTTTTTACCACTAGTCATTTGATCTGGAGTCAGTGGTTCTTGGTTGATAGTATTGTGACAGAAACATTCTCGCCTCCTCTTAGAAAATAATTTCAATTTAAGATAAGCCTTCTTGGCAGTGAATTAGTACACCAAGTGACTACTTGTTAATTCTTAGTCATCCAGAAATACTGGAATGATTGTTAATTATCCTGATTTTGCTAGGAGGTTTATAGTGGGGATTGTTGGGAGAATGGCTCATAGGTTTCTGGACATTTGTATGTAGTTACTGCACTGAAATTTTAAGTGTCTTCCTTTCCCTGACAGTGTTAACTGGACACTAGCATCATGGGGTTAAAAAAAATGTACTAGGGAAAGTCCTGTTAACTCCTTGTTTAGACTTCCCAGTCCAGGAACTTGTGGTCTCAGTGACCTTGACGTGTTACTTTCTTAGCTCTCCAGACACTCTTTATGTATAGTTAATATGTTTGGCATGACTTGCGATTCAGAGGCCATTCTAAGGGATCTGGTATGTGATATCAGTCAGATATATCTCATTTGTCATTCACATTCTGAATGTGTCATTCACATTCTCCATGATACATGATGAGGTCCCAGTCTGACTTGAGAAAACTTTTCTCAGTTTTTTCTCCCTTTTAGACATCTCATGTTATGGGCTTAGTAGTTCTATGAATGATTCATTTCACAGACTCAAATAAAGTAGGTCTATATGCACTGTCATGCTAGAGCTCCTTGCTGTGGTCTCTGAAAATGGACATTATTGTTAGTGTCTTGCCCACCTGCCTGGAGATGTTCTGTGGGATTTTTTAAGTTTTGAGTAGCCAGAAGGTAGTTTGTGTGTAAATAATAAATTACTTACTATCTTCAACAAAATAAAATTTTATTTGGTGGGTTATTTCAAAGGTCTGTCTTACTTATGGTAGTAAAAAATTCTGTTTAGGTCTCTAGAAATCTCATGATGTCCCCCAAAAAAGGACAGGCTAACAAGCAGTTGTAATTGGATACTTGGCTTTGCTGTGGGTGTCTGATAGAGATGTTCAGGAAATTGTAGGCCTTGTGTATAGTGAGAAATTTTGGCAAATGTGATGATAGTTTCTAGATTTGGGAACAGAAGATTGGCAATGATTGATACAGGTTTTCCTAAGGGTAACATTTTCTGTTAATAGAAACATGCAAATTAAATTAGCAAGAAGGTAAGATGGCCAAGGTTAACACTGGAGCAGAAATGAGAGATGTCCCCAGCTGCAGACAAATGGAGCAATCTGTCTCACTTTCCTCTGGTTTCAGACATCCAAAAGTCTTCAGACTTGAATGTGCACTGAGTGGTGATGCACGTATCAGGTGTTAACTCCATCAGGATGGGCAACTCTGTGGGATGGATAAATTATTCAGTTTTATAAAATCTTCTAGCTGTGATACCACGCAGTATCAATTCTGCATCCTCCCTATGATACCACGTAGGATCAACTTAGTATTTCTGCAAAATATTTTTGTAATAGCAAGTCTTTTTTAATGGTGTTTGAAGTTGCAAAGCCAAAACCTTAAGTTAGTAAATGCCTGTGGATTCAGGTGTCATATGTGATTGCAATTAATGTGTTTGTATTTCAAGCTCATCTTCTTGGTTAAGAGTATCTTGAGCTTTAGAAAATGGAGGAAACTGTTATTTGGGCTGTGTAATCTTGTTAAGTTCACAGCTATTCTGCTGTAGCTGCACCCATGTTAATCTCTGATCTTCTTATGATTCTCACATTTAAAAAAAGGCAATATTTGACTTCTTGGCATCTAAAGTTAATAGGATATTTGGATTGAAGATGGTGCTGAACTTCATGTCATCTTAGAAGGATTTCATACTTGTCTTGAGTTGCATTAATTCCAAAAGTAATGCATCGGTATGACATAAGAATAATATTACAAGTGAAATTCTTACCATTAGTATTTTCTGTGAGAAGTTTTAATAGAGGATAATATTTGGTAGTTATATTCAAGGATCTTAATGTATTCTGCAGTCAAAAACTCATTCTCTATATTACATTCATAGGAAGGAGAGGCAGAGTATATATATTTGTCAGGAAGAAGAGTGCAGCAGACCCATTTCTCTGCAAATTGTCAAGGACAATAGTTTACAAAATTTTACACTAGTTTTCACTACTAGGGAAAAAAATTCATAAATGCTTTTCATAGTGAAGACCAAGAATTATACAGTAGTAACCATGTTTTCCTCAGTGCCTCAGTATTTTTGAGAAAAAGGACTTTATAAGAAAAAGACACTTTTTTTTTCATGTATTTGTATTCATTTAAGAAATAGTGAGTACAGAAAAAAAACAGAGCTGGCATATACAGAAAGGCACCAGCATTGCTGTATCATTTTCTGCTCATATGTAAGAGTTTCTAAAAACTTAGGAACTTCATGGGAAGCAGGCTATCACATCTGGTGACTTACGCTTTTAAAGACAAATCTACATCAGATGTTCCATAAGCAGAACATATTTAATGAAAAACAGTACTGAGCTTTTAGTTACTGTGCTATTAATGTTGGAGCCATCTTAACACCCCTGTTCTACCTCATTCTTTATATTACATACATCATATCCAGTGAAAACAATGCTCACCACTCTGTAGCGGTAGCTATTTTCCACACTATTTCATGATCTGGTTGCAGCTGCTTGTCTGTATTGCCTTTTTTGTAATGATATCTTTTGTAATCCTATTGCCATTGCCCCTTAAACACAGCAGAAGCAGCCTTCATTCTTGTTTGAATTGGGAGGAAGTTAGAGGTAGATGAAAAAGGAGCTAACTGTGCATTGCAGAGTTGCCTTATTTTCTCGAGCAGTTACAAATACTTGTAGGATAAATTGTCCCAACATGGAGGGGAAGAGCATGTTGCTACAGTGCTTACAGACCCCCTTACAGTACCAGTCTGCTGAGCTGTGGTGAAGAGTCTTTGCCTGCCTTGCTGCTGCTGGCTGGAGGTAATCTCTTGTTGGGCACAGACTTGCAGTATCAGGGAGGAATGTTGTAGTCATGTGCTTTTACTCCAGGCCTTGCAGACCATGTTTCCCTATGGGAAGAGTAGCTTTCTTTTTAACTTCTTTGGTCATCACGGACAGTGTATATCAATGCTTGGGTATCTGATTTTACAGTAAATAAGTCCTAGTGTCCTAAAGTAATGTCAATTAAAAGAAAAGGGAAAACAGTTTTTCTGACACTGCAATAGAATACTATATATTGCAGACATAAGACTTCTGTTTCTTACTCTGCTGAGGTTGTCATCTCCCTGTTGAAAGAGTCCTACTTTAGTTATCAGTGATTGAAATACCTTGCAGACTATAGTATTTTAGTAGTGTTAAAATAGTGGGGGGCTTGGTTAAAAAGTATTAATAGGTGTGTTTAGGGAAATCATTTTCAGACCACATGAGAATGCTGGCACTGAAGCATATTTTGTGTACTGTAAATATATAATAGGATTAGTCCCAGCTGCAGCTGTAGCATTTTCCTTCAGTGTTACAATATGAGAGTTGTGACCAGTCTTGCATTGCTTCCATTTGTCTGATTTAAAGGAAGCAAAACTCAGCAATAAGGGTGTAGATAAATATATGAAATCTTAGTTTATAACGTTATTAGAGCTGCATGTGACTTTAAAGGCTCAGTATGGCTTAAAAGAGCTTCAAGAAAAATTTGGCTGAGCTTAGGCTTTACAGAAACTTTTTGGAAAGCTGCATCTAAAAGATGCATTTCTGAATTCCAAAATACTTCAGTTGAGAAACTACCTCTTCTGTGAATATCATCAGTTTCCATATTACACAGATCACTTAAGAAGATGAACAGGTGGACACTAATGAAAAAAATGAGTCCTATACATTTGAGAATCAATTATTGCATTTTTACAGATTTTTAGACTTGTGCTAATACACTGTTGCTTAAAGGCATAAATACTGTGATGTGGAGAAGTGTTCTGTTCTTTATTTGATTTCATTTTGTGGAAATACCTGGCTATAACATTAACAGGATACCTTAACCTAAAAATTAGCGTTGAATTTTATGCATTAGGCTTGCAGCAGTCTGGATGCTGTAAAAAGCTCTTGCAGAGCAAACAGGTAGTCAAAAGGCAGAAAAAGATAAAAATTTGAGAGAGGTAAGGTTTGAGGTTGGCAAGTGGTAATTGTTACCTGATTTTTGATGCCTTTCCTGATGACAGTCTCAAAAAAGCATGTCACAATCCCACAAATTGCACTTTCCTGCTCCCCTAAATAGGATGACACTGCTGTTTACTGCCCTTTGTGTTCAGATCATAATGTATATAAATTCAAGCAGGATCTTAATTTGTTCAGTTACTACTGATAAGTAATTCAGACAGGATTAAAATGGTGACTGTGTTGCAACCATTGCCATGCTGGGTGCTAAATTAACACTTAAATAGTTTCAGGGCTAGCAGCAAGTAGATACCTTTCTAAAATTATTCTGTTCATGTCCTCCTTGGGGTAAGGGAGTGAAATCAGTACGAATAAAATGAGGTGCAGATCAAGTGTTACAACGCTGAAGTTTAACATTTTTTGTGGCAGTATATATGGCATTCATACAGTGCCAAATTCCATTGCTTGGTCTTCAGTCAAACATTATTTTATGGGAAGGTACAGATTTCAATGAGAATCACTCCATCAGTATTGTTTCTTCAAAGACTTTTTTATTTAAAGTTGCTTTGAAGTAAGACTGTAGGTCAGCCTTTTTAGTGGCTGAAGTTACTTCTGCATTCAGTATTTTGAGGTCCCATCAAAGCAGCTTGAGTTCTAATATCTACCAGTCCCATCTTGCTAGATTTAAGTGGCTTTTTTGTTTTGTTTTTTTCCATGCAGGTACTGCTCATTATTCACCACGAGTGTGGATCTGAAGAAGAGTTAATTACCTCTATTTTTTTGAGTATGTTTATACTTCAGATACACACAACGTAGTCTCCTTCCCTATTAGATTCTTAGAAGGTAGTTATAAATTTTTTTCTAGTATCCTTCTTGTGGCTTTAACAGTTATGATCAGTAACAAAATAAAACTATTCCTTACATTTTGGGCAACTGCATGCCAATCAGTTCACTTAGAACCTCCTGGAGGTCTTTCGCATGCCAGACTTTTAAAACTGAGTGTGTATTTGTGGAGGTAACTATGTTAAAAAGAAATCTTCTAATAAAACTTAGGGCTTTCTCATTCACTGGACTTGGAAAAATAAGTTTACGTAGGTTTGGAAATCAGTTATGTGAGCTGAATTTGCTACTTCTGTCCTAAAATTGAGTTTGCACTGTAGTTATGGGGGAAAAAATCTAGTTGGGAAATTATAAGACACTTTCACATTGTTTTTAGATATAGTTAGGTTGCTGTATAAATTATTGTATAAATAACATTTTATCTATTGTGCTCATTGTAAAAAGCTAGCTGAAGTTTCCTTCTCTAGCAAAGCAACTGCTAAATTGTGTGAAATCTGCATAAATTCAGTGTCTAGAACAGTAATTTGCCATTTCTGTCTGTAAAAGTATATCTTGTATATGGTTTAGATAAGTGTTTGTTTTATTTAGGGTTGGAAAAAGGAGAGAATCTTGGCCGAATATCCCGATGGAAAGATAATAATGGTTCTTCCTGATGACCCAAAGTATGCACTTAAAAAGGTATGGTGAGAAGGACTGGACTTGCATGTCCATCTTTGTTTGATGCTTTCAAATCAATGAGAATGTTCATAGAAAAGTTTGTGATATTTACCTGTGAACAGTCGAAACTGGACTCAAAACTGCAGTAGTTCTGTTCCCTTTTCCACAGACAGGTAGAAAAACCTACCTCGCTCTTAAGCGCTACTGATCTCTTCACAGAGAGGCTGGCCCTGGGCAGGGGTGGGAAGAGCATCAGCCAACTAACTTCTTAAAGTTTGGTGTTGGGTTTGGTTTTTTTTAAGCATCCTTGCAGAATGTCTGACAGATATTTATATAATATAAACTTCCCTTTATATTTAGATGAACTGAAATTTATTAACTTTATAACACAGTACAAATGTGGCAGCATTCTCTAGGTGACTTTCTGATAAAAACAATTAGGTGGGAAGTCGCCTCAAAGTCATCTAGTCCATTGCCATGTCCAAAGCAGGATTTGCTCTGGTTACGATGCATCTGACAACTTTTTAAAAATGCTACCACTAGAGGTTTGTCTGACCTCTTCAGACTGTATTACAGGGCTTTGCTAACCATAACATTAGGAAATTTTCCCTTAATGTCTTAACAGAATCTCCATACTGCAATTTAAGCTCATTAGTACTAATCATACTGCCAAAGCTACAGAAAACATCCTTCTTTTCCTCCTTGCAGCAGATTTTTTGTGCCTGAACAAACTGATTTTTTTTTACCTTAAGGAGATTGACTGGATGTGCTGTTCCTTTTTAGTTTATACTCCTAAATAATGTTTTTTAGAGCTCCATTCATTGTCATGCTCTTTTTTAGCTTATCTCCATTTGTGCCATGACTCATGTCTTTCTTGAAGCTCTAAAACTGGGCACAGCACACTAATGGGGACTTAGAGCAGTCAGGTACTCCAGTGTCCTGCTGGCTAACTTGTGTTCATACATGTTAAAGTGTGATTTCATTGTAGCCTGACACTGCCTCTGCTTAGCTGGGGATATTCTGTGGCTGATAGGAACTTTTTTACAGTATCCCTGTCACAGGGCCACAGAAGGTTGTTGTTGAGGTTGGAAGGGATTTCTGGAGGCTAAAGACAGCTTGGGGCCCAGGACAGCTCTTGCTGCTGGTGTGGTTGTAGCCAGTTTCTTTAGTCTAAGTTAGTGAATGAAAAAGAAGCTACAAATTTTCACATCTGATACAGATAAGTTTATTTGTTTAGTTTTATTTTTCTGGTGGGACTATCTTAATTTTAGGACATTTGTTGTGCATTCTTTTTTTAAAATAATGGGTGAAGAAAAAGAAGGAAGACTATAGCAAATTAAGTAATTTGGGATAGAGTTCTCTGTATTTCTGTGTAGCTGAAGTTGATAGACTCTTACAGTTGTCATAACCATGGATGCCTGATTTCAAGAATAGTTTTACTTGGTGTTTCAGATAATTGGGCATGTTATTAAATGATTAGAACCTGAAGCTTAGGTGAGAAAACAGAGAGTAACTCATACCTGTTAAAAATTATTTTGAAAGCATTTTTAACACAGCTGTCTTTACTGTGCGGGTGCCTGTGCATTGGAGCAGGTTGCCAGAGAGGGTGTGGAGCCTCCCTCACTGGAGATAGTCAAGAACATGTCCTGTGCCATGTGCTCTGGATGGCTCTGCTTGAGCAGGGAGGTTGGACCAGATGTGATAGCTTCCAGCCTGATGCATTCTGTGATACTCACAGCATCAGTAATTGTCCTTTCACATTACTATTGTAACTACAACATGCATTCAAGAAGCTAATGCCTTTTAATAAACCATAGGTGAGGGTGCCTTTTTTGTCTTACAGGAGATGAGGGATGATAGAGGCTGTTCCAATGTACAGATGCAGTTTCAGGAAGCACTCAGTAAAAAGTTATCTCATGCATAAGCTTTCATTTACATTCATGCTGGAGTTTATCTGTTTCTTCTAAACTTGCTAATACTAAACAAAACCATTAGTTTCAGTTGCTCTTTGAAAACCCAATGGAAGAGTAGAAAGCTAAAGGAAAGAGCAGTTATTCCATTAAAACAAATGCTTATATTTTCTGTCTGCCTTGGCACTGTGCCTGCTGTCATCTGCTCAAAATCCTTAATAAATTAGTTCTTTCAAGACTTCAAAAATAACAAAAAATCGTAAATTGCTTTAATTTTCCTAGTAGATCTGATTGACTTCTAAAATATCAGAGCTCACAGTTCAATTATCTGCATTCTCTCTATTAACCTTTGACTAAAGAAGTTGGGACTTAATGGAAGCTGACTGAGCGGTCTCTACTCTTCCTTCTTCGAGACGACTATTGTTTAAGGAACATTTATGCAGATAATGTGTTGCAGCTAGGTTGATCCTTAACATTTGGAATAGCTTTCAGTGTTCTAGATACCCTAATACCTTTCTGCAAATCTATGATTTTAATGTAATGTAAATTTATAAAAATGTGCATTTAGATGTGTTTCTTATACAGCATTTAAAATTATTTTGGCAGGTTGAAGAAATCCGAGAAATGGTAGACAATGACTTGGGATTTCAGCAAACTCCTCTCATGTGCTACTCTAGAACTAAAACTCTTCTTTTTATTTCTAATGACAAAAAAGTCATTGGCTGCTTAATTGCAGAACATATCCAGTGGGTAAGTGATTGAATTGGAGAAAGATAATCTGTGTCAGTGCTTAATAACTGTTTTTCACAGCAAATTAGTATTCTGTGTATGCCTGTTCCACAGAGGAAGAGACTGGGTGGTTGGACCATTCTGAAATATAGTTACTCAGTTTTGTGTGGTTGACACTGAGCAGAGACATATGGATAGTGTCATACTTGGCTTAGGCAAACCTCATCATCTGAAAACTTGCTACAGCTGAGGGTGGAATTTTTCCTCCTCTGCTGTTCTGCAGCTCTGGCTCTGTGCTCTTGTTGATAAGCATGTTCAACTCCCTACCCAGCAGAAATCCAGCATGGATGAAAGAGTGGATGCTGTGTATGATTGAGTTGAATGGCCACAGGGTCAAACAGCTCCACAAGAAATAAAAGCAGAGGACAAAACTGCACTGGAAGGCAGGACAGGTAATCACTGATGTCACATAATCTGTCCATTCCAAACTGTAGTGTTTTCTACTGTCCCTTGGGAGTATCAGACAACAAGCAAGACAATCTTAGCCAAAGCCAGAGAAAATGCAAACACTTTGATACAGATGGCAATAAGAATTGGAATATTTGTTGCTGTTATTTTAAGTGAAATAAACTTTAGAGGGTTTTTTGTTTATTTAATCTGTTGTCATCTGCTTGATTTTTGAAAGTGTTATGAAAAATTAAATGAGACACAAAAATACAGTCTTTTTGGTAAGGCATTTTAGCAGCCAAGTATGTTTAACTGAAATAAATTAAACATGAATTATTTTGTTCAGTCATTAGTGATGCTTTTATAAAGTGACAAGTGTTTTTCATGTCATCTGCAGGGCTACAGAGTTATAGAAGAGAAGGTTCCAGAAGTCAGTTCAGAAAATGAGAAAGTGATATTTGAGAGACAGAAAGCATGGTGCTGTTCAACTTCTCCAGAACCTGCTATCTGTGGGATCAGTCGGATCTGGGTGTTCAGCATGATGCGCCGGAAGAAGATCGCTTCTCGGATGATTGAATGTCTTAGGTAAGTCAAAAACATTCCTCAGCTACACATGGCTTAGACAGAATTCAGTCCAAGATACCGACTGTTTGTGTGTTTCAGGCTTGTATTTCCAGACTGCTGGTGATATTTGAGATATAGATTTGAGCACAGCTGACAGTTGCAGTATAAGGTGGAGTTCAGTAACTAACGTCAGTACTCTACAATAGTTAGTCTTTCACAGAAATCTTTGAGTGCAATTGTAATGAGTCACCCTGGCAGACTCTCAGGGTGAAATTCCTCCACAGTAATTATGAGTAAAAAGGACACAAGACTGTCTTTGGTCAAAGTGTGAGATTACCCGTGGAATGGGACCCCGACCATTGGCTGATTGTTCATTCCTTCTAGGTACAAAGAGGGAAGTAACAGACCCAGTGCACCCATTGGGTATAGTCTGGTGGCTTCCAGCTATTGTTTAGGTTTGTTTTTTTAATATATACTCAGGTTCACTGAACCTTATGGATATTTTCAACTTCCAAGGAGCTTTAGTAGCTAGTGGTGAGAGTATTCCAGCTGAATAATGCTAAATGCTACATACATAAAAAGGACTCACACATCTGTGCTATTGTCTACATAAATGTTAAAAATGTTGAGTCTCAAAACCTCAGGTTTCTTTCCAAGAAATTTAAATGTCAGTTCTGAGTAATGGCAAGAACTGCTCAAATCTTAGGACTGTTTAGGTTTTTAGGGCTGTCAGTTTTGTGTTTCTCTCATCTGGCTGGAGTTTCTAGAACAGGTACTGCTGCCTCCAGCAGTCCTCACCCTCTTGGGTGTTTGGAGAGCTTAGCAAAGTTTTTCTGCCCTGCACAATTCATCTTGCCTGGCTGGTGGAGCAAATCAAGGTCATGTTTTGGCTTACCTATTTACAGTAAATCTCTATTCAGATAAGCATATGAACTTCGTTATTTGCCTATGTTTTTGGCAGATTTTTAATAGTGTGTTCTGTAGCTTCCTAGAAACAGTTTTTAAAGGAAAGATTTCTCTTCCAAAATGATGCAGGAATTACTTCCTCAGCTACAGCCCTAAAGGATCTTTAGAATCAGTTTTGATGGTTTGTTACAACTAGTGAGGCCTCAGTTTTCGTGTTACTTGCGCCCTCCACCTGCCCTTTTGCTGTGCTCGGGTGCTTGTTTGGCCTTCCAGTAACTCATTGCTGTATTCACTAAAAAGTTTGGCATTATAGGTGAGGGAGCCTAGGAAGTTGCAGAAGGCAAAGGAAAGGAGTGAGACTTGCTTTGGGATGGCAGTAAGCAGTTACATCTGCTCAGCTGCCTAAACCTAAATGTTTTCCATAGCAGAAGGTACTTGGAATGGGGTAATTTTGGTAACCAGCTAAATCCTGACTTCAGAATGTTGAAGGCATGGGAACAGACTGAGGTCCAGTTTGAGACTGGCTGTCTCATTTCACTCAGGCTTTGACAGTACCTTGGAGTCACAGAAACCCAGTCAGACAGTCTTAAGAACCTTGCAAAATCATCTTTTTGAACACATGAAAGAGAATAGAATAAAGGTGGTAGTAATTAAAAAGGATTTTGTTCCTGTTATCTTTTCCTCAGTATTTAATGGAGATGTCCATATGAGTGAAGCTCCTGCTTGCTCTTCAGGTACATTTATGGTTATTTTATAGAAACTAAAGACCTTAAATCTAAAGGGAGTTTCTTCTGTTTCTAAGGATAAAATATCACCTCCCCTTTAAGACCAATTAACATCTTAAAGCCCGAATTCAGTTTTCTAAAATTGCTCACATAGCCAGCCGGAGAATTAGAATGGTATCCCTTGATTCTCACTCTCCCTTCAAATAAGACTAAAACATAAAACAGTGATATACTCTTCATGAACAAGTTGAGCAAATTGATTCTTTATTTTTGTATAGTTAATTATTGAATGTGTATTTAGGAATTATGCCTTGAGATTGGTCATTTGAGGCCACTCCATAAGCACCCCAACTTGTTTTGTAGCTTGTTTTCAATTCTAGTGATTGTAGTCACAGCACCAGCAGTTTCTTTTTTATTAAAAAATATTTGGAATTAATTCAAACTTTTTATTTTAAATTCTAAATTTGAACTCTTGATGCAATTGTTCTGTGCAAACATTCCTTTTAAAATACCAGACCCTTAAAAAACTCTCCCAGAGCAAGTGATTATCCTTGCTCTTTGGAAGGAGGAGATAAATCACATGAATAGAGCTATCTCCTCCTAACAGAACTCCTTCCTTTTGAATGTCTGTGCTGCTTAATTAATGGTTTGTGGCCTAATAGCAGAAATACTTTTCATTATTCCTTGAGGGTAATTATCTTATTTTCTCCTTTTCCCCTCTTTTAAACAGGAGCAACTTCATATACGGCTCATACTTAAGCAAGGAGGAAATTGCTTTCTCTGACCCCACTCCTGATGGGAAGCTCTTTGCAACACAGTACTGTGGCACTGGCCAGTTCCTGGTATACAACTTCCTCAATGGACAGCACCAGACTTAACTGCTCTGCAGGAATTCCATTTTTATTGGAGACTTCTGCCAAACTGCATCGAGTGGGTGCAGGCCTTCAGCAGAAGCCAGGGCCATTTTTATTACAGTGAACTCAGGACTGGTAACAACCAAACGGTTGTACTATTTTGTTAAAATTGTAAACAATGCAGTAATAGGCTAACTTTGTTTTTTTAAAAGAAAGATATTTTATTAACTTTTACAAAAGTTTGATTGTATTTTATCTAGGTAGTCATGTTTACATGCAGCAGAAAATTGTTCATAGTGGACTGTAAACTAATGCAAAGACTCTAGTCTGGCTGACGAGTACATGCTGAAGTTCGTACTAAGGTGGTATACCAGTGCTTCCCAGTACTGGAGCGCTGGGCTCCTGCCCCAGCTCCCGCTGCCAACACGCGTCTGGCAGAGTTCCAGGCTGTGCCCAGGGGCATGGAGGCAGGAGCATTATAGTGCAGTTGCTGTGGGCAACAACCCTCACAGGCTGTATGGTGCCTTCGGGGGTGCCCCTGTACCCTGCTCCTTGTCAGGGTGCCTGCTCCCTGGCAGCAGCATCGGAATCTTGTTGTGGCCCCGTCCCCTTCTCCCCCAGATTACTTTTGGAGTAAAAGGTGGAATGAAAAGCCTAAGGACTGGTGTACTCGTCATTCTTCAAGTATTGTACTGAGTATATACCTTTGTTAGTGGACTTCACTTTGATACTTGTCACTCCTTCATAAATCTCTCCTCTTTCAAAGGGTTTGTATGTTGAAAAACTGCTGTGGCCTTTCTTGATCTGTACATAATGTAGATACATTAAAAATAAAATACTTGATAGCTTTTTTAAAGTTACTCAGTATTATACTAAGTGTTAATGAATCTTTAGTGTATTTCATACTTTTCTTGGTGGGAAAAACATAACATGCTGAAGATAAGTGCCCCCAGGAGCTCAGGATCAAGACCATCCTCATACAATGTTTATAGTAAGGTGAGCGGGGATACCTTCAGTCTTGAGTAACAGTTTAAAACCCTAATGGAAGACTGGAAAGATCTAGTTAAGGTTAAACTTAGGGTTCATTTCAATTTTGGAACCTGGGTGCAGTCAGGATATGCTTGTTTATGGTGTGCTGTCTTTAGCATTGGTCGAGAGCTGAATCTAAGACTTTGTACCCCATCCCAGATGGGGTATCTCAATACTCAAGAGTACTTAAAGCTGGAGTAGCAGAATGGTGGTGAATTCTGGGCTGCAGAGGCTGTTTGTTTCCAACCTGCCCCATGTAATTTTCCTGGGGATTGTGAGCAGCCTATAAAGAGCTTTGTGAGAAAAGTGGTGCAGGTGCACAGGAACTCTAGAAGCAATCCTCTGTGGCAGGCTCAGAAAGCAAGAACAGGGCTCATTAAGAGAGAGGTAGTCTGAAATGGTAACTTAATATATTCAAATTTAATGAAAGCACATTATAAACATACCATAGCCACAACTTCAGACAGTTTCAGTTCATAAACAATAACATGAGGTAGACTGACTAGTGAAGCTAAATTCACCAAGTTTTTGGTTAAGAAAACTTTACACTAGGAAAGCAACGTTTTTAACCCTCTTCCAAAAGTCACAAAAAGCAATTACATAAGTTAAGCAAAAAGCATCTGCATATGATTCTTTAAATCTTAGTTTACATTCAGTTTTAACCTGTGAATAGACAAGAACATCTACAGGTAAAATATAACGCTGGCCAATTTTCATACATTCATAAGAATGGCCTTAATGGCAAGGCTTAAAACCAAAACAGAATAGCAATCATGTGCCTGTCAACCACGAGTCTCCTTAACAGGAATTCACAGGCAGCCACTTTAAAGCATTCCATGGGACAGGCCTGCTCTGTTGGGGCTGGTGTAGTGCACTCGGGCCAAAGCGTTACCAAAACTTTCTGCTTCCATAGGGGGAGCACTAAGGAAATGGGTTTACTATTAGCTGGTAAAGGTAGGCAAATACACTGATTTTCTAAATGCACTCTCAGCCTTCAGGATGATTTTGCTCTGCTCTACCAGTGGGCTAACTCCTCCTAGTAGTCTCAGCACCCGGAATTTTAAGAACTTAGTGCAAACATCAAATACACGAACAAAAATGAAACCATTTTTGAACATGTAGTACCTGACACTTCTCTACACCATGCTAAGACTGGGGGCTGGCCTTAAGCCCTCTGGCAAAACCAGAGCTACTGGAATACATTCAGGCATGTAGCAAACACTTCAAGAATCATCTTTTATATCCCAACTTCTTCCCAGTGTTAAAATAGGTAAGGCAAGTTGTATCTGAAGGAAAATAAAAAATAAATTTAATGAAAGGGGTTGTTCATGTGAAATTTGCTTAATTTACAGCATCAGAAATAATGCTACATCAACAAAGACATATGCAAACCATTTTCCTTTGGCCTCTGTCAAATATATTATGTTTATTCATCTGTAAACATCTCTTCACAAGATAAAAAAAGTTGCTTAATTAACACTATGCCTTAAAAAAATGCAGCTTTGGCAGGTCCTTCTGCAATGACTGCAGTTAAGGTGTAAAGATGCATTAATTCCATTGCTTTCTGGGGAGTAAATTCATATTCCTGAATAGCCTTTAAGAACACCGCATTTTTCTTATTGATAAAGGGGGTCACAATTTGCAGAAAGATGATTGTTGGGGGGGTGTGTGTAAACCTCACAACTCCTGCTAAGTGTGAGGGGAACAGAGCCACTGCTATATTCACCCCTGACAGCCAGATGCTACGGCACCGAGTTAATTCCAGAACACCTTCACAGGGATCAGTATTGCAGCTGGAAATAGGACAGTGTGCCATTGCTGCAGAGCCAGTATTTACAGAAGTACACGGATTCACACATCTTCGCTTCTGGAGATTCCCTCCTGAGCAGTCCCAGCTCCCTGGGATTTCTTCCCTGCTCCCCCCTGGAGCTACTGTAGAACACTTTCTGTTTCTCTTGGGTCCAGCTCAGGCACTGTTACTCTCCTGCACATTTCTTGGTGTGTTGCTTCATCTACAGGAATAACTCAGACCTGATCTCAGTTCTGCAGCAAACTGGAGCTGAGTGTAAAGGAAATGGAGAGAGCTGCAGACAGTCCACCACAAAGGCACCAGACGGACAGGAGGATGCATTTCCAAACGCAAAGGAGGACGGGACCGCAAGTTTCCAAAGCTCTGAGGAGAGTGATTTGCTGGGAAGTTACTCTGGTCTCTAACTGAAAAGAGAGCAGCTCCAAGAATCCTTTTGCTTCGGGCCATGGAGCTGAGGAGGAGGTGCCTACTGGGGCAAAATACCATTGCTAAGGGTGCACAGTGCCTGCCATGCGCTTGCCCGTTTGTTCAGGTTTAAGTAGTAAACTTTGAACACCTGTGGAAATTTTGCCAAAGACAGTTTCAATACGTACACAATTACAAATTTAAAACTAACACTGCACAGAGAACAAGACTATTCCTTGTAACACAAATATCTACTTTATATTGTAGTTTCAAACCCCTGAGTATTCCTGTACCACAGCACAGAGCAGAAGAGACGCGGTGGGCTCTCCTCCACCTTTCTTCGATAAATTCCACATGCTAGGGTGCGTTTCATGTAACACATTCAAGCTTACAGCTGCAAGAGGAGAACAGCTTCTTCCCCTAACTCAGCTGAATACAAAAAGGATTCTTCTTTGACAAAACATCCTCTTCCCAGATCCTACAGCTTGGTTGGCTGTGTGATCAGTGTCGGTGGTTGTGAATGATGCGAAAATAACTGGAATCCACGATCTTTTAAATCATAACCGATGTGGTAATCTTATCCCAAAGAATAAAGCTACTCCAGAATGCAGGGAATCCTTTAGAGCAGTCTAGATAAATATTGGTTGCACTTTTCTCCACAGTGATTGTACTTTTTATAAAAAAAAAAAAAGTTCTTCTTTTTCTTTGTTAGCGGTGTCTCAGAGAAGCTTATATGTGGCGTCCCGTAAGGAAATAGAGTGGTTCATCATCACTGCTGTTTGCAGTTTGAAACTCATCCCGAAGTCGGAACTGCCACTCATCCTCCAACTCCAACCGGACTATTGTCTGCCGTAGTGAGCTTCTGTCTTGACATATGACACACAGGGTGGCACCTTCAATTGAAAAGCGCATTAGATTCTCAAGGTACAATAACAACTCATTTCCTTCACTGATTTTCCTAAGATATTTTAAAGAAATCTCTGCTGCTAGGGAGGAAAAAAGTAGCATTAGAAGGGTCTGTCACCAACCATCCATTGCGGGCTCAGAGCAGTCTTTGGAGCCCCAGGACAGATGTGAATGTGTCCATTTGCAGGAAGGCACAGACGTGGAGAAGCAAGCATGTTGTGGGGTGTGCTCTGGATCACAGGATATCACTGCCTAACAGTCAGGCAGTGTTAATATCATCAACTCCAGCAGGGAGAACATTAACTGGATCTTTAAATTACTACTGATAATTAAGCCCTAATAATAAAGCCTACTTTTTTTGTTTGTTTATTTTGTGGGACATTTGGGTTTGTAGAAGGTCACTGATGAAATTCTGCTAAGCTAAACAAGTCCCATAAATGACTTAAGAAAATCCGCTGACTTCCGTAAGTATGAGAGCTACTCTTGGTAAAGCAGAAGAACTGGACACCTTCAGGACTTTGTTCTGTGCTCCAGCCCATGCACCTGGCACATGGGAAGTTTTGGTTCAGATCCCTCCTCTGCTTGACTGAAGCAAGGGAAGGCCCTTCCTACTAGGCATCCACTGCCTGTTTTTGGGAAGAAGCCACCCCTTGCCCAAGAAACAACAAAGTGCCCTCTCTGACTGCATCAACTCTGGGACCTGGTGGTGGGCAGCACTATCCCCAGTGTGTCTTTGTGCCTTCCTCCTCTATCCCTGCCCTGTAAGGTGTAAGAGGGCACAGGAGCAAACTTCAAAATTTGGTTCTTGGAACTAGCTAAGGGTCATCATCCCTGTGGTCTCCTTGCACATGCACCATCCTCAGCCAGCATAAGAGGGAAACAGCTCAGGTATGCCACCACAACTGCACTGGAGCTCTGCAACACACTTCAGCATTATTTAATTCCTCTGGCAATTTGCTAATTGTCAGCATTAAGACAAAAAGGAACGTTTTTATGAGTGTATATCAAGTTCTGGTGGGGCAGACCAAATTCTCCTCCAGCTAAGAGCTGTCTTTATTTACAGAATTGAAGATTTATTGATGTTTTTGATTGATTGCCAGAGCAGAATTTCCTGTCCTCATCAATAACATCTATGCTCACAACTCTCAAGTTGCTGACTGCACAATTCACTGCCTGATTTTCAGAATCCTTGCTGATGTCACTTTAAAGTAACTTAATGAATATCATTTGTCAATGCTTACCTAAGGTTCAATTATCTGCCAACAGGAACAGAAGTTTGATACACCCTCAAAAACCACTCCATCTATTTCTTTTGAAAACAGTGCCAAAACAAACTGTGAAAATAATGGAGCTGTTTAATCAAGCTGTTTATTCCTTTGCCTTTCCCTTTTCCTCCACACTATTATTAGCTGGTGAGAGGCACACAGGATGCCTAGCAGAGAAGTGAGATTACCTTTGAGAAACCTGAACCGCTTGAGGAGGTCTGCACCAACAAAGGAGTCACAGAGATAGAGCAGAAGTCCACTGAAGAACACCCCTTCACAGTTGACATTGACTGAGTGTGGGCGAGAGCTAATGTAGCATATGGCCACCTGAAACACAAGGGGGAAAGAAATGCTTTCTCTTTCAGAAATGTCTAAGGATGACTTACATGGAATGGAATATAACTTAGTGATAACAGGCAAGTCAGCTGGTGCTCTGACAAAAATCCAATCCAACAAGACTG